GGCGGCGGAAGCAGGGCTGGCCGGGGGGGAGGGCAAGGGGGCTGGCCGGGGAGATCGGGAGGAGGAGGACGGGAGAACCAGCCACCGGAAGCAGGGCTACACGGGGCAGTGGGGCTGACCAGGGGAGATCGGGAGGAGAAGTGAGGGAGGGGGAGTGAATCGGCCAGTGGGAAGCGGGACTGACCTGGGCACATAAGTGAATCCGGCGCCAGGGATTCCATTTTCCCTCCCTCTCCCCCCCAATACCCTCCCTCAAGTAGTTGTGAACTGCCTGGCTGGTAGACACACTCACGTAGCATGAGCACATCTACCAGCCAGGCAGTTCGCAGCTACGGACTGATACACCTAATAATAATAAAACTTAACTAATTAGAAAATACCGAACACTTTATATGTCTGGTATTTTCTCAATTTGCTTCCCCGACAGAACCCTCAAATACCTGACTGTCCAGTACAAAACTGGACACCTGGCAACCCTATCCCCCCTTGCACCCTCCCTCCTCGCCAGATACCCTAACCCCAATCTGCTCCTACCTCCTGGAATGCCCATGCAGCGCTGGGTCCCCCAAGCCCTGGCCCAGGCTGGTCGGAGAATGCAGCCAGGTGAAACACTGACAATTTATTCATTTTTAATTCTTTTTTTATATGCGTGTTTATTTTTGGGCTGTAAAAAACAGTACTGAAAAAAAATGGGTTCCAAATAAAGTAAAAAGTTTGGAAAACCCTGGTCTAGCCAGCTTTCTGTCCATCTTACAGTCCATTTATCCAATCCATATTCCCTTAACTTTCTCGCAAGTATATTGTGGGTGACCGTATCAAAAGCTTTGCTAAAGCTGGCACCGAGGGCTTTGGGAGGACCAGAAACAACTTATTTGAATATTTGTCATTTGCTTAATGAATATGCAAATGATTGTTATCTGTCCTCCAAAAGCTCATGAATGGATTTACTGGTCCCTGTGTCAAAAAGTTTGGGAACCCCTGGTGTGGATTGTTGCTTCCATGCTATTGCATCTTGGCCTATTTGAATTTCCCAGTAAGAATGCTGGTGCTTTTTTTTTTATGGAATGCTTGATAGTAACATTATCTCTCTTCAGATTGATAACTAAACAGTTACCAGACTTATGAGTGAGTCATTTCTGACCTGGACTAGTCTTGAACCATTGATGCGTGAAGGACTTGGTATCTGATTATCAATCCCCATGTTTTATAATTTCCTTCTGTCGTCTTCAGAAAGAAAAAATACCACTTGATAGTAAATCCATCAGTATTGTTCAGTTCTATTTAGTTCTGTGAATTCCTATAACAAGGGCTCATTTTGTATGCACTTTTATGAACAGGGATTGGGTTCAGGGATGATAGTGTACCTACTTTCTGATGCAGATTATATTGCCATTATACGCTGTTTGTCTGTCTGTCGACAGTGCTTTTTTTGTGACGGTATGGCCTGGTATGGTGTACTGTCATGTATTTTCCCAGTTCACAGTAAATGAATGGGATTTTTCCTTGCGCGTACCGGCACCTGTTTTCCTAGCACCGCTTGTCTCCTGACGGAAGCCTGATCGGGATGCAAAGCGTTTTTTTCCTGGCTCCTAGCATGGAGTTTTGGCTCTTAAAGAGGCTGCGACTGCATTTTGGCCTTTCTTTCTTTCTTTCTTTGCTCAACAACTTTTCCGGAGTGGTGTGGTGTGGTTTGTTGAAAGAAAGAGAGAAAAAAAGTTACAAAAAAAGCACTGTATATAGATATGTATGTGCCATGAAGGGTAGAATAGTGCAGGTTTAAAAATATTGGATTTTATTATGTTTCCTGGATGCTGTTTTGTTTTCCAATTTTCTGCATTTGTTAATTAACTTAAAGTTTATATGATGACTTATGTACACAATGTGTCCTTTTGTCAGATATAGCAGTTTCAAAAAACACATCAGTACCACCTCTCTGGTCCACAGAGGCTGAACGATCTCATTCTCTCTCTCAACATTCTGCTACCAGCTCTAAAAAACCTGCATTCAACTTATCTGCTTTTGGAGCTCTATCCCCTGTGAGTACTGCACAATATAAGTTGTAATCACATTGGTTTTGTGTCCGTTTTCCTAACTGTCATCTTTATATGTCTCACTGCAGTCACTTGGTAATGCTTCTGTCCTTAAGACAAGCCAGCTTGGGGATTCTCCATTTTACCCTGGAAAAACCACTTACGGTGGTGCAGCTGCAGCAGCAAGGCAGTCTAAAATACGAATTACTCCTTATCAGGTAAGAGAAACAGTGCTAATATGGGCAGGGGAGAGTAACTGAAACGTAAAATAAGAATTTATCTTGAAAATATGCAGATATGATAGCAATTTTTTTATATAATACTTCAGTAGTGGAGCATATAGTATTCTGGAGATGTCACTGACATTTAGCAATGGGAAGAAACTGTCACTTATAGAAGTCTTTAACCTAGAAAGCTTTCAGTTTTAAAGGTAAATTTCATGAGCTAACTAACTTGTGGGACTGTTGCTGATTAATAGTTGCTTATCAAACTGACATCTCAGTTTAAAACTATTGTTGAGCAACCACTGCTTGTCCAGTACATATTCACACTCTTGCACAGTTTTTATACACTTGAACCTCTTTAATTTGGCAACCCTGGGAAACAGGGTCTACTGGATTAAAGTGTTGCCGGGTGGGCAGGGTTGGGGGGCAAGGGAGGTGTGAGAGGAATGGGAGTAGGGTGTTTACCTGGTACTCCACATCCCCCACCGATTCCAGGCACCACACCTTGCTTCTATGGAAGAGACAGGGTGGAGCCTCTGGCAAAGGGAGTTGTAAATAGAAAGGTTTCTCAAAGAAATTGAAAGGCAGTATAGTAGCAAACTATAAACTCAAAACAATTTAAAAGATAAACTAAAAAGTGGAATTCCTGATTATGGTGTACATAAACTTACATGACAGTGTAGTGAGTCATCTTAATTAGACTTCTTGCTTAATCAAAGTATCTTCTTCAGAAGTGACTTGTAATAGTCTCTTAAATTCTCTTTCCTGCCCTTCAAAGAAGATAGTAAGCCCATTATTTTCTTCTTTGTGAACTTTTTACATTTTATTTAAATAATAGGAATTGAAGTAATTTAAGACATCATTTAGTCCCATATTTCTCGCACACTGGGGGACAGGTCAACTCTTCTGTGAAGCCAGGAGGCTCCCATTTTCTTCAGTAGGTTCTCATTGAGCTCCTAGGGCTTTATTTCCCACATCTTTTCTAAAATATTGGGATCCAACACTTGTTGTCCTGAAACAAATATATTAATGTTGAAGTCTAACATTTATCATGTTAACTTTTCAGACACCTGTCAGAAGACAGATGAAAGCAAAGCAAGCAAATGTGCAATCCTATGGAGTGACAAGTTCCACAGCACGGCGCATCTTGCAATCTCTGGAGAAGATGTCAAGTCCTTTAGCAGTAAATGGCTCTTTTTACTCTGTTGTGTTGCAGTGCCAAGAGCATATAACACATTCTAAACTTACCTATACCATATTGGGTGAAAACATTCTTAATAGAGTTTAACTTACTTTAATATTTATCCAACAGGATGCTAAAAGGATTCCATCTTCTGTTGTTTCTCCATTGTCTTCTGTAAGTTGGCCTCTAAAACTGCCTTCTCTTCTATTGCATAGCAACTTCATTGGAGATCTTTTTTCCACTGACGTGTGACTTTTTTCCTCACAGCCTGTGGACAGGAGCATGCTGGATATTACTCGCTTCCATTCAAAGAGAAGACAGGTAAGGATTCACTGATACCCAGGCAGTTTATCAATTTAATTAAAATATTCATTAGTTTGAGTACTCTGAAGTTTCTGCAGATCTATAGTGGATACAAGCAATAGGATATTAACTCACATAACATTAGTATTATGGTTTGTTTGAGTTATTAATGATTGAAAATGTTTTATTGACCTCACTGTAGCTAAGAGGGCTTTAAAGGTTATCTACTCCACTTCTGGGGTAGGTCATCTTCGTATTGGTCTTGAAATCTATTACCCAGAGGAACAAGGCTGGAACTCTAGAGAGAGCTTTGCTTCTTCCAACTACTTGTCAGCAAGCAAGGTGTGAGCTGGGTTACATAGTTTTAGGAAGATCTTGTGCTGGAAGAGTGACCAGAAATAAGGGAGGAGGGAGTTGCTAAATGTCCTTGCCAGACTTACGTTTAAATCAATGACATACATTTACCACCTGTACGTCTTAATGCTTCTGTCTTGGAAAACTGGTGGTGTGTCAAGAAGAGAAGGAATTTTGTAAATTCTGGTGACTTCTATAATTTTAACCAATGTTCTTATATCTAAGAGTAAATTTAAACTGTTTTTAAAGAAGCTTTACTTAGTAATAGTATATTTAAATCCTGATTACTATCACGTTGTTAACAAGTGAAAAATGTGAATAGATTATTTTCAGGTTCTTGGGTACTTCTAATATTGCATAAATTTGAGATCTAAGACCACTATAGAAATAAAAAAATATTGTTTTCCTTCTATAGCATCCACCACATGAAGTTTTACACAGAAAGTGTAAAGGGTATCTCTTAAATTCTATACTGACCTTTTGACTAGAAATATTATTACACTTAGCATTTGCTTTATAAGATAGCACTTGAACACAAAGAATTGCATGCAATTTCTTCAACATGTGCCATGTAAACAGACTGAAGAAAACTGCAGTTTAGCATTGTCAGTTAACTTTATAGAGCCACACCTGTGTTGAAACATTAAAAAAGAAGTAGCAATTATGCAACAGGGAGCCTGGAGATGTCAAACTAATGGAATGTTCCACACAGCTGTCACCCAATAAAAAGAGAGGAATTGTCTATTCATAGAGCAATATTTGGCAAGAAAAAGGGAAGCCCTTGATTGTAGTAATTGCTGATCAAGACAAGGATTGTTGAGTGTGTTTGTTTTGTTTTGTGCTTTGCTGCCAAAATAAGTGGATGGTTGATAAAACACTTGTGCACTTAGTAAAAACTGTTTCAGTTGATAACAGTGGTGCAGTACATTCTTATTTTAAAAACCCACACAGGCCGGTATAGCGCTCTCAGTACTTCGTGTCTGTATTCCAGTATCAGAAAAATTTCCATTTCCTTTTTCTTACAATGGTTTGGTAATGCATGTTAAAAAGGTACACTGGAAAATTCTTCCATTGAGAGTAGACTAGCTTGATGTTTTTTAACTTAGTTTATGAAACATTTCAGAAGGAATCAAGAAGTATTATTGTAATCAACTTCTAGAAAGATCTTTTCATGAAATAATCATTGAAATTATGCTGTAGGAGTAAATTTTGGCTCTATCCTGCATTGCAGGGATATTATTTGAAAATAATATTGTAGATTATGGTGTCTACTAGTGTTTGACAAAACTAGATTATTGCCAGTGAAACAGATTATGAAATTCAAATTGATTTTCACTATTTACATATTCAAACATTTCTTTGTTAGGTTGGTGAAAATCAATTGTCAGTTTAATTTTTAGGTAGGTAATGTAAGCAGTATTTAAGTTGCAAATATAGTACAAATATAGCTGCAAATGGGGTATTTGTTTTAAAAGAACTCTTATCATTGGAATAATAAAAGATTATTTTTGTGCTAGCTTTTTTGGTGGTTCTATAGAAGCTTGGTTTATGCAAAATGAAGTGCCTGCTTGGTTTCAAGGCTTAGTTACCTAATGCTGTGGTGTGTGGTTGGGTGTGGTGGGTTTTTTTTTTTTTTTTTTTTTTTTTAAATAAATGATGAGACTTGTTGGAATAATCAAACCCAGAGGGTTGGCTGATTAGTCATTAACACTTTGAGAAATTTATTTCCTGTGTCTGTAAAATAGGATAATATTCTGATTTCAGTGAATTCATGTCCTAAAGTAGTATTAAAATTACCTGAGGAGTCCTGGTTTTAGAGAATGTTGGATTCCTTGTTTGATTTTCTTTCTAATTTCCCCTCCACGTTAAATACTTTTATAGTAAAGGAAGGCACATCTCACTGAGTGCAATGATTACATTGAGGTAGTTAGATATTTAAAAACCTGAGTAAAATTAAATATAAATGAGCCAGAGCCTCCCAAAATAACTATATTTATTGCTCCTTCTTTTAAAGGTGGAATCCCAGTACCCTCCTGTCCAGAAACTAGTGACACCGAAGACAATTTCTCCGTCAATGAGCCGGTCACAGTATTTTAAACCATCTCTGACTCCAGCTGCTGAGTCAGGCAAGATTAGACAGAGAATAGATGTAAAGCACAAAGTGAGTGCACTTTCCCTTAACCTTGTAATTGCTATGCATAGTTGATAAAGGTTTTATAGAACATTCAGGGTATTGCTTACATTGGTAGGAATCCTTATGCAAGGAATATTTGAAGTTGTGTGGATTTTTATTGTATTCATGGACCAGCATGTGATTGATTGGACATCCTCTGTTTAATGATGTACTGCTGGCTTGGACTATATTTGTATTGGAAGGATAGCACAAGTGCAGTACATTTTGAGATCTAGTTGCAATGTTCTCTGATTTTCTTACGAGAAACATCTGCTGAAATAAAGAAGATTATGTAACACTGGCATGAGTAGGGGGAACCAACCTTTGCATATTTTTGCACAGCAAAATTGTTGCACAACAAAATGGCATAGGCTTGGAGGAAAGGGAATTCCAATCATGTTTCTTTAGAAAGCATAGTTATTAAAACTCACAACAAGGGTTGATATTTCCAGTAAATCTTCCTTGGGCTCTTCTGAATAAAGCCTGAATGGACTTATGGCACCACACCAACGTTTTATTTTCAAGCCACCAACATTTGTAATACAATCTCTTTTATGGTGGAGTTGGCTGTAGTTCAGTAATTACGGCTAAGTTCCATTTTGTTATTAAAAGCAGGGATTTAACCTTGTTGTTGCTTAAAAAAATTACAGCATATTCTCCCCCAACTTACAGGATTTGCTCTTACAACTGACTGAATTGTCTGAATTTACAAGTAAATCTGTTAATTAGTCTGAGTTAATTATCTTCAAGGATTAATTAACTATCTGTCAGTCTTTTTGTTTTCCTGAGTGATCTTAATAAAAGAATGACACACACTTCAGACTTCTATGTGCTGTACTTAAAATTAATTGAAAGATTTCTTCATATATGGTAGGAATCCTGGTGGAAGGAATATTTGAATTTGTGTGGATTTTTATTGTATTCATGGACCGGTATGTGATTGATTGGTCATCCTCCATGTAACTTAATGTAACCCTAATTTGAAGGTTCTAATGAAGCTAAATTAATGATGTATTTAATTGTCATAAGCAGGGCTCGATGATTGCGGTGAAAACCAATCGCCAGTCCCGCACTGCGCATGTGTGAGACCTGCACTGCTTATGCGCGAAACGCCGGTGAACAGGGCGAACGGCTGAAATCTACTTACCATGAGCAAGTAGATCAGCAGATTTGTCGAGCCCTGGTCATAAGTAGGGATGTTAGATATAGAGTAATTGAATAGTCATGTAACTGCAAGAATTCTTATCAGTTACGAAACTATTCACTAGTCCCTCGGGCTGGGGCTGGCAGCCAGTGTGCTCTGGCCCCATTCCCAGGGAGCCAGCCCCTGTATCCCATGCTGCTGCGGGAGCAGTCTGCAAGGGGAGCTAGTTTAAAAGCCAGCTCCCTGCACAGACCATGTGCCTGCCACCCTGTGCTGCTGCCTTTGATACAGAGGCAGCAACGTGGGGTGTCAACAGCCCCTGTCCGTGGTGGTCTGAGCTCCCCACAGACTGAGGCTGCTGGGGGGCGAGGAGGGGAAGCGGGGTTGAGGATGGGGAGGCTGCCGCAAAGCAGCCTCTGTCCATGGTGGCCCAGGCTAGCCGTAGACAGAAACTGGTCCTTGGCAGCAGCCCCTGTCTGTGGGGGGGTCCTAGCTCCCCACGAACAGAAGCTGGAATAGTCTCTGCCCTCAGGAACCTGGGACCACCCACGGACAGGGGCTGCTGCCTGACCAGCATCTGTCTGAGGCGGGCCCAGGCTCACTGTGGACAGAGGCTGCTCTATGGGAGGCAGAGCAACCTCTGTCCACAGAGAACTTGGACTCTTCCTCCCCATCCCCCCGAAGACAGGGTCTGCCAGCAGTGGGACCAGCCTCTGCCAGCAGTGGGACCAGCCTCTGCCAGCGGTGGGACCAGCCTCTGCCAGCAGTGGGACCAGGCTTGTCACAGATAGTCTGCTTGGTGGAGCATCCTCTGTCTGTGGGGAGCTTGGACCCCCCCGGAGCTGCTTAATGAGAGAGGCAAGTAGTGTGTGTGGGGGTGGGGCAGGCTGCCCTGTGGAGCTGGTGCTGGGGAGAACCAGTTTTTAAGCCAGCTCCCCCCAGCACCGAATCCTGCTCCCCCCTCCCGTTGCCTCTGATACAGGGGGAGGAGGAAATGTGTGTAGTTGACAAGATTAACCAATAAGCCTATGCTTATCGGTTAATCATATAGTTGACTACACATTGATATCCCTAGTTATAAGTATAGTTATGTCAGCTGCTCAAGTTTGTGACTGAGAGAACTTGGTCATTGCCTCTCTTTTCTAGTTTGTTTGAAATAATTCTGTTAGCTGTAATGTTTCAGTGGCATGAGAAGACTGCAGTTGTGTGAAGAGCTGCTGTTGGTAGATGACATAGCCCTTAACTTTTAGAGTCTCTGCTTTTAGAGGTTCCATGCTATAACTTGGGCGTTAAGGATTGAAGTGCTGCCCCAGCAGTGGTCCCTGAATTCACCACTGTGCACCCCGCCAACACTGCTGGGGGAGCTGAGCCTGAAACATATATAGCGAGCTGTTAACATATATAGCGAGCAGAGACATTGGGGGGTATGTCAGCATTGCAGTAAAAAAAACACATCACCAAGCCACAGTGCCCAGGTCAATTAATTCAGGCTTGTGGGGCTCAGCCTGCAGGGCTGAACATAGTGGTGTAGACATTTAGACTCTGGCTGGATCCTGGGCTCTGAAATCCTGCAAGGGAGAAGGTCTCAGAGCCCAGGTCTCAGCCTGAGTTCAAACAGCTACACTGCTATTTTAACCCTGCAAACCTGAATTAGTTGACCTAAGCTCTGAGATAGGGTCTTCTATTGCAGTGTAGACATACCGGGGAACTCACCTGGCTTCCTTCTCTAGAGCACCAGACTTTAGCGCAGGGGAGGGGAACGTAAGGCTCAGGGGCCAGATGCCAGCGGTGGGACCAGCCTCTGCCAGCAGTGGGACCAGGCTTGTCACAGATAGTCTGCTTGGTGGAGCATCCTCTGTCTGTGGGGAGCTTGGACCCCCCCGGAGCTGCTTAATGAGAGAGGCAAGTAGTGTGTGTGGGGGTGGGGCAGGCTGCCCTGTGGAGCTGGTGCTGGGGAGAACCAGTTTTTAAGCCAGCTCCCCCCAGCACCGAATCCTGCTCCCCCCTCCCGTTGCCTCTGATACAGGGGGAGGAGGAAATGTGTGTAGTTGACAAGATTAACCAATAAGCCTATGCTTATCGGTTAATCATATAGTTGACTACACATTGATATCCCTAGTTATAAGTATAGTTATGTCAGCTGCTCAAGTTTGTGACTGAGAGAACTTGGTCATTGCCTCTCTTTTCTAGTTTGTTTGAAATAATTCTGTTAGCTGTAATGTTTCAGTGGCATGAGAAGACTGCAGTTGTGTGAAGAGCTGCTGTTGGTAGATGACATAGCCCTTAACTTTTAGAGTCTCTGCTTTTAGAGGTTCCATGCTATAACTTGGGCGTTAAGGATTGAAGTGCTGCCCCAGCAGTGGTCCCTGAATTCACCACTGTGCACCCCGCCAACACTGCTGGGGGAGCTGAGCCTGAAACATATATAGCGAGCTGTTAACATATATAGCGAGCAGAGACATTGGGGGGTATGTCAGCATTGCAGTAAAAAAAACACATCACCAAGCCACAGTGCCCAGGTCAATTAATTCAGGCTTGTGGGGCTCAGCCTGCAGGGCTGAACATAGTGGTGTAGACATTTAGACTCTGGCTGGATCCTGGGCTCTGAAATCCTGCAAGGGAGAAGGTCTCAGAGCCCAGGTCTCAGCCTGAGTTCAAACAGCTACACTGCTATTTTAACCCTGCAAACCTGAATTAGTTGACCTAAGCTCTGAGATAGGGTCTTCTATTGCAGTGTAGACATACCGGGGAACTCACCTGGCTTCCTTCTCTAGAGCACCAGACTTTAGCGCAGGGGAGGGGAACGTAAGGCTCAGGGGCCAGATGCTGCCCCCGGCTTACCTGGATTTAGCCCCTGAGTCTAGGGGTTCCCCCCCCCCAGCATTGGGGAGCCTTCATTGGTGCTCCAGCTCCCTCACCACCCCCTGTGGGCTGGAGCGCGTACAATCTACTAGCCTGGGCCCCCCAGGCTCTGGTGTACTAGGGGAATGTGGAGAATGTATTTCTCCTTAGTCATGGACTGCCTCATTGACGGGTGGAAGTTTTTGCCTTTCCCTTGTTTGTGGCCCCTGACTAATTATTTTTTTCTGTGGGTCATCGGCCTCCGACCCAAAAAAGGTTCCCTACCCTTGCTATAGTGTATTCCTCTAACCAAATTAGTCATTTACAAATTAAGGGCCAGCATCACTGCTACACTTTGACTAACTTGAATTACCAAAGTAGTGCAAGTTAGTCAATCAGCTGTAAACCCAACTTAGTTGGCCGCTATAGTGAGGATGCTGCATTTTGTGCCATTGAATCTGCCGTTTTTCTTCTAACTTTTAAGATTGATACTTCATATCTTTTATATAATTTGAAATATTTGGTAGCAGCATTCTCTTTGGGGTTTATTATTTAGTACTTCTGTGTAAACTTTTTTGCAACTTAAAAAAACAAAGACATTCCAAGACAAATAATTATGATGGAATTAAAGTTGAGACATATGTATCAGTAACTTCAGGATAAAAAGTATTACAAAGAGGTAGTCAGTATCCCCCAACCAAACATTACAAAACCAGGAAATTCAGAATTAAGGTTACACTTTAAAAGAAATCCAAATGTATTAAGGTATGGGAACATGCCAAATAGGGAACCCAAACAATCTTAATCTGTCCTGCAGTGATAGGGGAAAGTAGAATCTGAGGGTTTTCAATTTTACAATATTGTACTTAAACCGACATTTTGAGCTATTTCAGGGATAACATAAACATTTTATCAAGACTTTCACTAGACTCAAAAGTTGTCAGAATAAAATGTTCAGTGAATTTTGAACTCCAAATAGGAAATGTCTGCTAGCAAAAAATATCACAGCTACCTGTGAGGAGGTGCCTCAGTTCAGCATTTTTGTGTTTAACGTTATCTGCAAAAGGTAGAGCTACTATATGCGGAGGCTTAATTTTGGATTTTTTTAATGTCTGTCTGTGTAGCCTTACTATTAATATTAACATGGAGTTTTGTATGGATTATTATGTGTATTTTAGTGGCTAGTTGAGATTTCCTATTATATTAGAGGGGTCCAAGACAGCTGTATTTCATAGTCCTTTGTATGTCTGTTCTAACAGGATTTTCCCCACATTCTAAACTCTTTGTTTTTGAATGTGAAGCTCTATGCAGAGGATACACTCAGTATGGCACATGTTAAATGTATTATTTGATGCAGATATATAAAAGTTGGCTAATAGATCTCACAACTTATAACTGAGAAATTATCATCAAATGGGTTTTTGTCTAGTGAGGTATCTCAGGAGTTGTTCTTGGACCAGTGCTATTTAATATCTTCAGTGATCTGGAAGAAAATATAAGATAATTGCTGGGTACTTTCACTTTCAAAAATTGGTGGAGTAATAAAAAAGACGGTCAGTTCTATAGAGCTTTCTGTATTGTCTTGGAAATGGCACTCATTTGAACAACTTGTATTTTTAATATTGTCAAAGCTAAGATCATATATTTAGGAAGAAAGTGTGTGTCTCACTAAGCGGTGGGTAATTGGCTAATCGTGTAGTCGATATATAATTTGTATCGACCACACGATTAGTCAGTAAGGGGAAGGTGCTCTGTCCTGGCTCGCACTGGATCCAGGAGATACCCACTCTGTGGCTCTGCAGTTTAAATGTAGTTGAAGCCAGACATGCAGGGCTCCCCTCCGGCCCCCGGGCGCACAACCCTTTCTCACCTGGAGGCAGCAAGCCAAGTGGAGAGAAGTAACCTGTGCTGAGCCTGTGGATGGGGCTGCCAGGAGGTGGGGATGGGGTCGGACAGAGCCCATAGGTGTGGAATGGTGGTAGTGGTGGGCTGCCTGGGGATGGGAATGGGGCTGGGGGTGGGTTGCGTAGGAGTCAGTCCAGAGCAGGCTGGAGGTGGCTGGATAGTACCAGATTAAAAAGGAAGCTTTAGGGGCTGCAGCTCAGGGCCCTGGGTTAATGCAGATCTTTTTATGGGGTCCACTTAGACTAGGAACCTGGACGGCAGTCACTTAAAGCCCCTGTGATCTGGTCCTGCTTGGCAGGGTGGAGATGTGACTCCACACGTTACCATTCCCTCTCTCCCTACTTGCCTCACCTGTGGGCAGGCCTACTGACAGGAGAGGCAAAGGGGGCCACTGCCCCAGAGCCCTGAGTCCTTTAAATTGCTTCTGGAGTACCGCACAGCGTGCTCCAAGCAGCTCTAAAACCTGGAGTGGAGGGATATGGCACGCTCCATCTGGAGCTGAGGGCTGGCTGGCAACCTTGGCCCCACCCCTTCTGGGAACACAAAAGCTGTCCTCTTTCCCCCATCCTGTCTAGGAGTCTGGTGTGGTTCTCTGCTCCTCTGCCTATAGGCTCAGCCTCTGCAGCTCCCATTGGCTGGGAGTTAGGGATAATGGGAGCTGTTGGAGGTGGTGCCTGTGGGTGAGCACAGAGCCACCTGCCTCCTCTCCTTCCTCCCCAGGCCAGCACCACCAAAGAGGAACTGTCCCAGGTATGTGCCCCTTCCTCCATCCCTCTACCCCAACCCTGATTTCTCTCCCACATCCTATATCCCTCCCATCTCCCACACTCCCATCCCTACCACCTGACCTGAGCCCTCTTCCACACCCTAAACTCCCATGCCCCAACCTGGAGCCCTCGCCAGTATCCCAAATGCTTCCTCCGCAGTGCCACTCTGATGCCCATACCCCCAAAAGAGCTCTCACCCACTCCTCCATGCAACCTCCTGTCTCAACCCACCCCACAGCCTCCTCCTGCATTCTGAAACACTCACTTTTGGCCCCACCCTGGAGTCAAGAATACTCCCAAAAGTCTTATTGCTCTGGGTGCTCCTTCTAATCTAGCCCTGCGGCTAGGGCAGGGGTGGGCAAAGGAACCTCCGTAGACCAGATCTAGCCCACCAAGCTGGTGAATCCAGCCCGTTGCTGTCCTGCCCCTCCACTGCCCCCAGGCCAATCAAGATCTGGGGATGTGGGAAGTACAAGTCTCCTACCCCCGCCAGGGGCGCACGGCATCAGAGAGAACCGTTGGCTATTTTAAAACAACCGGAGGCTCTCTCTAGCTGCTGCGTGGCCAATGGTGGGGAAGGGGGAAGCGGCAAGAGACTTCGTGCACTCCCCTGCCCTATGGCCTGATTGGCCTAGGGGCAGGGAGAGTGCACGAACTCTCCTCCTGCTGCAGCACTTAGAGGGAACCACCAGCTGTAATGCTCTCTAGGCACCAGGAGCAGGGGGCAAAGATTTCACCAACTTCCCCACCCCCAGGCCTATCAGAGTCTGTGGGTGGGGGAGTATGAAAAGACTCCTGGCCCTGCTCCTTGTGTGTGGGGCCACACCAGAAATTTGTGAAGTGGCTCCCTTTTAAAAATTGTCCACCCTCTCCACCACCCAGAATCTCCCCTTGCCTTCCTCTTCAGAATCTCCACCTACCTCCTTGTCTTCTAATTAAATCTGCCTTTCCTCAAGCACCAACCAGCACTTAATGTTAAATAAAAAGTTATTTTGTATCAATTTTATTTTGTTTCTGTCTTGTTTCCATTATTATTTTCTACTATTTTTTCATTGCAAGTACACAGTATTTCAGCTACGTTCGGGGTTAAATAGGCTTTTATGGGCCAGCCTGGGAGCCTAACCACAATTTATAACATTATTTTGATGGGAAACCGATGCATTCTGAGTTCCAAACAACTGACTTACAAACTTTTGGAACCCATTCCGTTCATAAGTTGGGAACTTCCTGTAAACAAAAGCATGACCAAGTCCAGTCTCTTGAAAATGAAACTAGAAGTAAAGCATACATTTCAAATGGGGTAATTAACTGTTGGAACAAATAGCTAAGGTATATGGCGGATTTTTCCATCGCTTGAAGTCATAATACAAGACTGAATGTCTTTCTGAAGATATGCTTTTATATTAGTTGTGTTATGAAGTGAGTCAGAGTGAGTAGTCATTTCTGGTCTTAATGTCTATGAATTCATACGTTGTTGCAAAGTTTCATCCTGATAGAAGATTGATATGAGTCTGATGTCAATAGGTGTTTGTTTCTATGAGTAATGGGATTGTTAAAATAGAAATAATAAAGTGATGTAAAATATAATAAGCAATAGATATATTACTTGCTTTCAATAGATATTACTTCAGTGGGATTGCATGAGATATAAATCAGACCAGATTTTGGTTCAATACATTTATAATACATTGTTTAGAATCCAGTGTTTAAAATTAGTGCGTAATGTGTCTCGTATGCAGGCTAAAAAAATTAATCTCCCATCGTTTTAATCAGTAATACAGGCAGTCCCCGACTTATGAACAGGTTACATTCCGAACACCTGGTCCTAAGTCGGAAATACCCTTAAACATGCTGCCCGCGCTGTTCGAAAAACTTGATGTACATGGTTCTCAACTCGAAAAATATTATAATAGGGCTAATGGGAGGTTGGTTGTAAGTAAGTACGGATGGTCATAAGTCAGTGTGTTCGTAAGTTGGAGAGTGTGTAGTGATAAACTGATTAAATTCTTTGGAGCTGGAAAGCTTAAATTGAGTTTGTAATATTGACTTAACTCTGAAGTCTCACTACATACAGCAGGATTATCTAGTTAGATTAATTTATAAAAGAAGCAGAAGAAATGCTATAACTATATACTTGAAAATAATAGCAATTTATTTTCCTTTATTTGTAGGGAGTGAAGGAGAAGAATTTGACTGCAGAGAAGCAAGTAGAATCACCTGAAAAGTATGTCAAACCAAGATTTAATCTAAATTATTTGAGAGGAGAGACTATGCTTCCTTTGCTGGAATCTCTGGTTACTTTATGTAAAGGTAGTAAGGAATAATTCTTGATTGCACAACAGAATGTGAATTTGAAATTCATTTTAGTTAAACATTATTTCTTAGAAATGGAATATGAAATGTCTCATGTTGTCTATTATAGATCCGTGTACACTTAGTAGAAAAGAGGGAAATGATGATACATTTAATAACAATAGTAATTTGATTACATTAAAAAAAGATACAATAAGATGATTCACAGATAACTGTTTATCAGCCAATGTATCTTTCTACCATCTAATGAAGATAGGAAATAACATACTTTACTAACTAACTTAATTTTTCTATCGTCTTTTCTGCTGGCCTAGACATTACACCTTGTGGAGTTGGGGCTAGGGATGTTAAATTGCGGTTACTGAGCTAATCATATAGTGCATGGGTTCCCAAACTGGGGTGTGTGAAGAAATTCCAGGGAGGGTGCGAGGCGACCGAGCCTCTCCCGCCCAATCAAGTTTGCTGCCCTGTTCAGTTCCTTTATTCCTTTTTGCTGCTATTTTGGGAGAGGGGGGGAAGAGGCGTGGCATGAGGGTTTTTCAAAAAGGGGGGCATGATGCCAAAAAGTTTGGGAACCACTGATATGGTCAATACAATTTGTACGGGCTGTATTATTAGTCGATAGGACTGCTATGCAGAGCCACAGCAGGGTAGCTCTGGGAGTCACCTGTGCTGTAGCAAGAGGCGGCAGGAGTAAGGGACAAGTTGAGGTACTACTCGACTATCTGGTAAGCTTATGCTTATCGGATAGTGGACTAGTCGCTTACATCCCTAGTTGGGACTGTTTCTGATTTTTGGTTGTAGGTGTTTCTATGTAGCACCATTCTAATTACTTGGGAGGCTTGTTTGACCAACGCTATAGAACTTGGACAAGAACTTTGCTTTTACCAGACTGTTGATAGGAACGTTTCTGTTCCAGCCCAGAGAGAGGACGTAAGAGCTTAAAACAATTAGGTAATAAGAGTGTTTGCTAATATACTGTTTTTCTGTGTCAGCAATTTTACCTATCCCAAATTTAGTACTCCTGCATCCAATGGATTATATTCTGCAGTGGGAGGTGGCGGTGGCGGCAAGATGAGAAGGGAAAAAGGCGTACACTATGTATCTCAGCAAGGACAAGAGAAACAGGTAAGAAAAAATACTTTAGCTACATTGCTCTATCAGAATTTTTCAAAGCATGGATGCAATGAAACTGAAATAATGTGGTTCCTAAGAGAGTACACACAAAATAATAGTTATAAACAAGGCATGTTGTGCATAGCTAAACATAATGGGGTCTGAGTAATGGTGGAAGCTCCTGGGTGCTAGTTATTTCTGTTGGATATGTAGGCCCAAGTTATCTTGATTTTGAATGCCTTTTTTTTTTTTTTTTTTTTTTGATGCTCCTCTTGAGAAACCTGGCCCTGATTTTTCAGAAGTGCCGAGTCACTTCCATCTCCAGTTGAAGTCATTGAGAGCTAGAGCTGCTCATCACTTCTGAAAATCAGGCCATAGATTTCTGAAGTAGGGCAACCAAAATGAGAGGCTGTATTTTGAAGCTCTTGGGCATATTATTATAGGGGTTCTTCCAGTTGTATTGTAGGGTTTCTCGCTAACAGCTACATAAGTCTATAGAAGAAACACTGAGTAAATGTCTTAGGATAATTATGTACATTTTATTTTTAAGGGATTGAAATAAGTGACAATAAGCCAATAAGTATTAAATTCATAATTCTATCTTTTAAATAATATAAAAGTACAGAACAAATAAAAAAATTGAAGTGGAATAAAGCTGAACATAACACAATATGTGCATGCAAAAATATTATAAATATTAGAAATCTGTGACATTGGCTAATGTTACCCACGTGCACACATCAGCCGCTCCCTCCTTATTTTTTCATTAAAAAAACAATTTAATAAAAAGTATAAATGGCAGTATATGTCCACAGAATTATTTCTGTTTGGTGTCTAGCATAGGTACACATCTCAGCATAGAGTAAGTTATACACTTCCTGTTTGTCTTAAGTATAGAGATATAAATTCTTAGACCAATCTTTTGACTGAACTGATATAGGGAAGAGAAAACAGCTAGATATTTGAGATCTTGGAGGGTAATTCTGTAGCACAAATACAAGCACTTACTATAAAGATTTGATGGGCCTGATTCATTAAATATGTTGAAATGAACCAATATAGAAGCTGGGAAACCAGATTTCTTTAGGTATAAACACAGAGGAAAAAATTAAGCTTTAATGTATTGCCACTTCATTATTTCTGCACAAGTCCAAATGCCATGAATGACTTTTCATTAAACTAATTAATTAAATCTTTCTAACCCCCAGTCTAATTTCAGCAGCTAAATACTTTAAAAGAAATGTCTTTATGCATCAGTGGCGTCTGTTAGTTCTGTGATTCATTTTAAACTATGCGATATACCATGAAGTCAGACACAATATGACACTGGTTTGACCACTGATTTGATCCAATATGACAACTTCTGTGTTCTTAAAATAGGACATATGCGCTTTCTTGTGTCTGGAGTGTATAAAGATGTGAAAGCTGTAGGGTTTTTTGAAAGAACAAAACTTGCTTATTTTTTTTACCTTAAAAATCAGAAACTTCAACACTGAACTTCCTTACTTTTGCTAGAGGATTTCTTGCATGTCTCAGCATGCATTTAAATCCCCCATTTTAATTAGAGTAGGGAAATCAACTTGCAAAACAATATTTTTTTCTAGAATTTTAGTTATTAAAGTTAAATGATTAACAACAAAAACAAACTTGAAATAAAGAGGAACAATTCAGTCTATCATTCGGTATTGTTGTTATGATGCACATCCCGTGGGCAGTAGCTGAATTACTACATCTTATACACATGATCACCCATGGAAAGATCTTGTCAAAGGTTAAAAATGTTCTAATAAACTAGGATGGAGGATGATATATTTTTATAATGTTATGTTATATTAGGCTTTGTTGCTTTTAATTTTGTTTAGATATTATCAGGGGGGAAATGAGGTTTCAATACAGAATAAAAAAATAACTAAAAAATTATGCACTTTTAGGAGATGGAAGCACCAGTATTACCCAAAATATCCTTACCAATCAATACATCACTGCCTAACTTCAGCTTTGGTTCCCTTGCCAGTACTACTGTGTCATCGTCAGCAATCACTGATGCACAACCAGTGATTAACAAGGTACAGGTTGTATGTGCTTAATACTTTAGGACTAGAATTGGTTTGTCTTGTTCGTTTGCTGTGTTGTATGTTGGATATGTTTTTAGTGTATCAAAGGGTTGACTAAATAGTATTAGCTTATGTCCAGCTGAGTAAATGAGGGCCATTATATTCTGATGTGTAATGAAATTAAAGAAAGATTTTGATTTGGTTTCACAAAATTGTCAATTAATTATTGGATAAATGAATTACCGGACAGTGTCGTATGGCTTCTGAAAGTGCTCTGGAAACCTTGTTATGATTACAGTGTGCAAGATTTATCCATCATTGGCATTGGAAGAATCAGTAGGAAGTAAATGCCATCATAATGATTGCAGGATGGACCTTTCAGGTCTGGCATCCTCGGGACCTGACAGGTCCTCCATGAAAGATTTTGCTGGACCAGGGAAGGTCAATTCCAGCCCCTCTGCTGACAGATTCTGGGCTCTCTTTGGGTCCATCCGCAGACCCAGGTGGTCTTACCTCTGGACTCCTCACGTCCACGTGGCTCCTCTGCAGGGCTCCCCTCCTCTGGGTGGGCTGCACTGCCAGCTCTGGTCCTGACTGCCGGGCAATCTCTGTGACCTCCCCGGACAGGCTGCATTGCTGGGTCCTGCCCTGGCCATCCTGTAGGCTCCCCGCCTGCAACCGGGCTCTGCTGTTGGCTCCCTTGCCCCCAGGCTGGCGCCGCTGCCAGCTCCTCTTCCAGCCAGGGCTCTCTGGTCCATCAACAGATGGTGCAACCTGTAACATATCTAACTGCAATAAAAATAAACATGAAGAATGTCTAGATGCATTTTAATATTTGTGTGCAGTTTTTTTAAAAGAATTGAATATCTATTTATTATGAAGGAGCAAGTTGACAGCTCCCTAGTTAATGCTAAGTTGAGTTTAAGGTTGTTTAGGTGCCTTGGCTACATTTTTATACTTTAACACATTTGAATATATTTTCAGTATAATCTGAACTCTGAATTTTCTGGGTTTTGGAATAATTAAAAGGTAACTCTCTAATATAGATATTTGATATCTCTGAACCTTAATTGCACTTCATCATAGTTCTTATCTGGAAATTATAAATGTCAAAACTAGCTTTCCCAATTTCAGTGCAGAACTTCTTATATTTTTATAACTTTAAATAGTTTTTACTTCTAGCATGTTTTCTTTTTAGATAGTCTTAATTTTCTTTTAAATGTAGGTGCAACCAGCAAGTAATGCTAGCAGTCCTGTGTTCAGATTTTCATCTCCAATTGTAAAGTCTACTGAGGCAGAAGTGCTACCTCCATTGTCTGTAAGTCACGGGTGGGCAATAATTTTTGATGGGGAGGGGGGCACTCCAAGCTTTTGGAAGGCCGCATTATTCCAGGATATTCATGGAGGAATTCTGGGGTCTGGAATGGATGTTGGGTGCAGAAGGGAGCTTGGGGGAAGGGACTGGGGTGCAGAAGGGAGAGTGGAGTCTGGGAGGGAGTTGGGGGAAGGAGGCAGTTGTGACCTAGGTCAGGGGACTGGGAATCAGGATTTTGTGATGCGACCTAGGGTAGGAGGGGTTTGTGATCTGGGACAGGAGATTGGGTGCAGGAGGGGGCAGAGGGTTTGGGTGTGTGGAAGGGGTAGTGCAGAGGGTTGGGGAAGGGAAAGGCTGGGGTGCCAGAAGCAAACTCTGGCTGGGAGGTGCTTCTGAGACAGGCTGCTCACTGCTCCACATGGCTCCTCTCTGAGCATGAGAGGGAGGGAGAGGGGGAAGGGAGAAGGCTTCCTACACTGCCCCTGCTCCCAGCAAAAATTCTCAGCTCCTATTGGCTGGAAAATGAGAGATTGGCCAGTGGGAGCTAAGAAATTTTGCTGGGGGGTGGGAACAGCATGAGAAGTCTACCTCCTCCCTACCCAGCTGTCTGGACTGGAGAACAGCTGGCTTTTTAAAGTGTGAGCTGTTATCTACCTAAGGGTTATGACAAGGTGGCCTCAGGTTATGACAAGGTGGCCCACTGGCCTCTTGCCCACCCCTGCTGTAAGTAATGCCTAGGGAAACTCAGCTGTACCTGAAGCTTTTGCTGTGGGTTTACCAAAACATTTCAGAGGAATAAGTGGAGTCAGTGGCAGAAAAGGAACAGAGTCTTTCATATTCAGTTGAATGCCAAATAAATTGCACATCAGAGAATTGAGGTCTAAATTTGCATTAGTTTGTTAGATTGGATTAAGGTTTCTTCCTTTTGTCATTGAAGATTTTTTTTTATCAGATTGGGTTTACATTTAGTGTTCCTGTTGTGAAATCAACAGAAGCTTCTGGATCCAGTGATACTCCAATGCCACTTCTGATTAGCACAGGTAACTAAATATTCAGCACTTCAGACCTGAAATGTTTTTTTATCTAACACTAGATCTGGCTGGCAAGCATATCCCAACTGAACTGTCTTCCCTAAGAACATGCCGGTGGTAGGATATCCTTTTCCATTGGATATTGGAACTAGTATGTCACTAGGAGGAGTTTCTTTAGAACAAACACCCCAATCCCTCACCCTTCCATCTTTCCTCCTAGAAGCTGCTATTTTATCCTTTTGTGTTTCAATCACAATTCCTAAGTAATGATCACTAACATCCATGAGTTTATCATGAGGCTTGAAATTTTATTTCTGGTAGGATATCCTTTTCCATTGGATATTGGAACTAGTATGTCACTAGGAGGAGTTTCTTTAGAACAAACACCCCAATCCCTCACCCTTCCATCTTTCCTCCTAGAAGCTGCTATTTTATCCTTTTGTGTTTCAATCACAATTCCTAAGTAATGATCACTAACATCCATGAGTTTATCATGAGGCTTGAAATTTTATTTCTGAGACTTGTTCTTCCTGAAAGCAATAACAGTCCCCGTCTCCCCCAGATGCTTCTCTGCTGCAAAGGATGTTTTTTACTTAAATACCCAGGATTTCTTCTGGAATAGTTTGTTATGTGAAAAAGCATGGAGATGCTTTAGTGGCAGTTATTTAAACCAGCCCGGGCAACTATGCTAGGGAGTGGGCCACATGAATGGCCTTCCTTCTTTTCAGCGGGCCACAAAATTGTTGTAACCACGACGGTCTCCCAGAATAGGACAGTTTTGCACTTGCATACCTAGAATTTGCCAAGTGTGCTGATTGAACCATAGCAATCCTTTCATTGGATGCAGAAGGGAGCACACGGCTCTTACTGTGCCATCAGCATGTGCCTCACTTCATGTTCCCTTGCTTTATGTGCATGTCACTTTAATACTAATAGGAAAAAAACCTATATGGATGGAAACCTGTGGAATCTGGCAATACTGCACTTGGTCTCTGTAGTAAATAAAATGTCTTCTGGGCCACATGCAGAACGCTGATGGGCTGCGTGAGCACTCGAGCCACAGGTTATTCCCTCTGATTTAAAACTTGAATTTTTAATTTGTGCATAAGTTATGAAAACACTGTAAATTTAAACCACAATACTGTTGGAATACTTTAAACACTATTGTTACCAGCATCACCTAAAATTACTGCCATGAAAGGTTAGAGAGAAAATATTCAGTTTTCCTTGTTAGTGTGTGTCTTTCACACCACAAAAGGTTTGATATTTTTTAAAGGTAGGAAAATCTGATTTTTAAAATACAAAAATTGTCAGAGAGATTTGGGAGCCCTGAAAGTTTATTTCATGTTTTTTGACTGCTTCAAATGGTTGTTTGTTTTAAAGTGATACCTTAGTGTGTACGGTGTAGATTTGATGTATTTCAAAACATTTCCTGTGCTCTAGTTATTTTCACATGAAAGTCCTGTTGACTTATTTCTTTCCCTTCTGAATCTTAATAGCCATATTCAGTCAAAACTTGGGTAACTTCCCACATTTTTTGAAAATTTTCCTAAATGTCATTTATTAAAACTGCATGTTTGTGCCACTACAATTCAGATAGGTTTTCATCATTAAAATGGTGAACCAATCTTGGGGTATTTATAATTTAGCTATAGAAATTTTCTTACCAGAACTTTGGCATACATTTTGGAGGGCTTGAAAGTAGCTCTTTTCTCTCCTTTTTCCTAATTCCCACTCTTAACTGCAAGCTCTAATAGTTTGTTTTCAGTAATAGCAGGGAAGAACAAAAAATATCTTCCTGGGAAAATTGCAAAAGTGTTAATACAGGGTGAAACTTTCTTAACTTGAACTCTCTGGTATGGCAACTGGACCATGGATGTTCCAGGACCAGAATGTCCCACTGAAGGGTAGCACCTGGGAACCCCATGCGTGGTAGTGGGGCTTCCCAGCAGGGCTGCAGGAGCCTGGCGCGCAGCTGTGAGACAACCTGAAAACGCAGCAGAAGCCAGGCTCTGCAGCAGGAACCTGGTGCTCAGAGGCAGCAGGGCTGCACCGTGTGGCACTCAGAACCTGGTGTGCGAAGGCAAGTGGGACTGCCAGGTGCTGGAGCAGGAGCCTGGTGTGCCCACAGGCAGCAAGGCTGCCTGGCTCGACAGTGGGAGCTCAGCGAGTAGAGGCAGCGTGGCTTTCTGGTAGGGTAGTGGAGGCTAACAGGGCAGCTGGGCCAGCGAGAGGTGGGAGCCAGCGGGGAAAGCAGCAGTTGTCCCAGGGCTGGTGGCCAGGGGGCCAGAAATGGCCTCCTGTGGTCCAGCAAAATCCCTCATCCGCAACTAGGGATTTCCAACCTGTATGATAGAATGCTAGTAAAATGAAAAGCAGAATTTCCATTCTTCAGGAAATTCTGATATTTCTACATTTTCTTTTTAGCCTTAAGTCAAACAAAAAGTTAAAATATTTAAAAAAAATTGTGGAATAAAGGTCTGAAAAATTGATGCAGTAGTGATAAAACGTTTTTATATATCAGCATTTTTATCCCAGCAAAATACTTTGTTATTCCCAAATTGAAACCTTTTGTTTCTGTTCAGTTCAATCTGAAGTTGCACCTTCTGGTGCTGCATTGTCCCATTAGATTTGTAGTTTGGATGCCTTGTGCCTTTTCACCTTTCTGGATTGAACTCTCCAGCCTGTCTATGTCTCCCATGATAGGGATGTTAAATTGCGGTTAGTAAGCTAGTTAAGTACAGGACTATGTAGCACTTTAAAGACTAACAAGATGGTTTATTAGATGATGAGCTTTCGTGGGCCAGACCCACTTCCTCAGATCAAATTATGGAAGAAAATAGTCACAACCATATATACCAAAGGATACAATTAAAAAAAATGAACACATATGAAAAGGACAAATCACATTTCAGAACAGAAGGGGGATGCGGGGGAGGGAAGGAACAACCATATATACCAAAGGATACAATTAAAAAAGAAATGAACACATATGAAAAGGACAAATCACATTTCAGAACAGAAGAGGGATGGGGGGAAGGAAGGTAAATACCTGTGAGTTAATGATATTAGAGGTTGGGAAGGGTAGATGTCTGTTAGTTAATGGTATTAACTGCAATCACCTCTAATACCATTAACTAACAGACATCTACCCTTCCCCACCTCCAATACCATTAACTTACAGGCATTTACCTTCCTTCCCTCCCCCGCATCCCCCTTCTGTTCTGAAATGTGATTTGTCCTTTTCATATGTGTTCATTTTTTTAAATTGTATCCTTTGGTATATATGGTTGTGACTATTTTCTTCCATAATTTGATCTGAGGAAGTGGGTCTGGCCCACGAAAGCTCATCATCTAATAAACCATCTTGATAGTCTTTAAAGTGCTACATAGTCCTGTATTTTGTTTCAGCTACACCAGACTAACATGGCTACATTTCTATCGCTAATTAAGTAGTTAGTGTAATTTCCATTGACTATTCGATTAGTTGATAAGGGGGCAGCATGAGTTAGGACTGAGCAGTCCCTGACTCATGCTGGCTCCAGGACCTCTGTGGCTCTGCTTTTTAAATGTAGTAAGAGCTGCCAACTGAGTTCTGGCTCGTGCCTGGTCCCAGATGCTGTGCCTCTGCTTTTTAAATGTAGTAAGAGGTGCAGTGTCTGGGACCCAGCGTGAGCCAAGTCTCAGCTGTCCCAGCTTGGTCCCCTGCTGCATCTCTGCCTCCCTTGCCCTCCATGGAGACGGTGTTGTGGGGAGCCGGCTGATACAGAGGCAGCAAGGGGGGAGAGGAGTGATTAGTTGAGTAGTGACTCGACTGTCTGATAAGCCTAGGCTTGTTGAGTAGTGACTCGACAACTCAACTAATCTCTTACATCCCTACCCATGATATGTGAATAGTCATGTGACTCCCATGATGCAGCTCAGTTACAGGAGAGACTGTTTTATCAGCATTGGAAAAGCAGCCTAACACATAGGAAAGAATGGAGACATGATAAATCCAATCTATAACTTTCATTGGGCAAGATGGCAGGGTAGGAAGATTCAGTTCAATCTTTAACTGGCTTTATAAACCAAATATTTTGGTTCATTTCAGCAAACTGAAATATTTTGATTTTGGCATGATCTGATCCGAAGTGAAATATTTTCCTGTTGGGGAGGATAAAAAAATAAAACAAAACGGTAAAATCAGATTTTTCTATGAAAATGTTCCATTGTACAGAAACTGCATTTTCTATGTTTCAAAAGCTTTTTTTTTTTTTTTTTTTTTTTTAATGGAAAATTCCCAGTGGGTCCTGTATCCAACCTTTCTTTGTACAAATCTGCAGTAATTTTATTATTTTTGTCAACGAAGTTGAAAGTGGGAGGCTCTGTAAATGTTTCTTGAAATTAGAAAGTAACCATGTAACTATTCCTATAAAGTTGATTGGATTACAGTAGTTCTTGGAATTATACATAAGTGTCTGTCTTATGTGAACATAAAATTTTAAAAATCAAATATTGGAAATTACAAAGACTTTTTTGAAGAGAGTTTTTGAGCATGTTTCTCCATGAAAGTAGTAAACTTTCTGTTTAAAGGTACCCCTGCTGTAAATAGCACCAGCAATAAGAAGAAAGAACAGGAAGAGTACGATGGCGCCTTCAAGCCTGCAAAAGTCTTGAAAGAAGGGAGTGTACTGGATATTCTAAAGAGCCCTGGTGAGATAATGGATTCCATTTAAAAAGAACTTACAGTAAAGCATGGATTAGTGTGCAGTGTTGCAGTTCTTGAGAAACTTTAATTATATCATTAATCTAAGGTTAAGTTTTACTGACAAACTGAAATCAAGTTTCTGTTTAATGTTGAAATACTAAATGGTAGCCCATTGTGGTCCCGGACTGCAACATTAACTATGGGGGGGGACACCCCACGGGGGTGAATGGTGTTAGAGTAGCTTTACAGTAGCTTTTTACCATTTCTGTTGTGTGTGTTTTTATGATACTGGAGGCTTCCTACATCCCTTGCACCACCTTGCACTTACCCTGTTGTGTGGGAAGATGAATGAGGGCTAAAAAAGAGTTTCTCAAAGAAGCTAATGTACCTGATTTCATATTTATATTCTTCTAGAGTTTACTTCTCTGAAGACACACACCCCTGCAGCTACACAGCCTGTTTCAACAAACACAGAAGTTTATACACGGCCTGCAATAAGTAATTTTTCTGCAGGTTCGTTGGGATTTAGAGAGACCTCTAAACAGTCTTCATCATATTGGCACTGTGACACATGTCTCTTACAAAACAAGCCCACAGACAACAGATGCGTAACCTGTCAAGCTGCTAAAGTGCCGACATCAGATCCTGCTAAACAGACTGGAACGTTGACTCTAAGCAGCACTGTTAAATCAGCTGCTCCAGCAACAGGAACACAGAGCTTTGGAGACAAATTTAAAACAGCAGTAGGGACATGGGATTGTGATACATGTCTAGTCCAGAATAAACCTGAAGCTACAAAATGTGTGGCCTGTGAAACACCAAAGCCTGGAACGGGAGTAAAGCCTGCTCTGACATTGCCAGTGGTCACAGAAAATACAGTAACAGTGACTTCCTCTCCTAGCTGCACTGAAACGACAGTCACTTTGGGGTTTGGAGACAAATTCAAAAAGCCGAAGGGTTCTTGGGACTGTACAGTGTGCCTTGTATCAAATAAGGCAGAAGACAGTAAATGTGTAGCATGTCAATGTGAGAGACCAGGTAAGATTTATTTTAACACTCAGCTCTTGCAAATGTACTTAAATCTTATTTTAAAAGCTCTTGTCTTTAAAAAGCATTAATTTTATTCACAGTTTAAAGTACAGAACTCTGAATACTGTGGTTTTAAAATTAAGGATTAGGATTAATGTATGCATTATAATAGTCTGCCTCTAATCACTTGTGTGATTAAATATCTGATTCTGTTTTCTGGTTACCATTTCCTGAGCCACTGCTTTGAAACCAGCATCTGCTTCTCCTCACTGCGTGCAGTTAGGTAGTTCTTCCCCAAAGGTTTACCCTTCCGGAAGCAATAGCCCATCCTTCAGCACAAATTGGTGACTTAGACTCCTTGTGCGAGACAAAGCTAAAATTCTTTCCTTTGTTGATTACACATTATCCAAAGGTTTTTGTAGTATTGCATTGTAGAGGGGAGAAAGAAACCACATTGTGTTGAACTGTGGTTCCACAAAATCTCCAGAACCTATTTAGAGATGTACCAATGTGTGCTCATCAGAGAATGAAGGTAGGGATGGTCTTCTAGTATATATCCTGGCAGATAGTGTCCACATTCCTTTTAGGCTTAGGTAGCTGTCAGCCCACCAGTAGAATGTCTTTTGACTTTTAGAGGGCAAGGAGAGCAATCAGCTGTATATTCTTCTTTAATTTAAGCACATAACTATTTTGCAATGATGGAGAAACAAAAATTTGTGGTATAAGATGACATATCACTTGAAAAAGACCTAGGTACATTGGTCCTATCATTGGCTCTGTGAGTCACCTATGTGATGTGGTTGTGAAAAGGCTGATGCAGTCTAAGGATGCATCAGGTGAGGGAAAATAGATGGGGAAATGTTATTACCTTTGTATAATGCACTTTTGAAAGTGCATTTGGAATATTGTGTGCAATTCATGTAAATGAATATGCAATTCAATAAAAAACAATGAATTCAGACTGGAACAAAAGCAAAGCAGGCTACTAGCATGATCAGGGAGTGGAGAACCTAAGTTACAAGAGGCGACTTAAGGGGTTTGTCTAGCTTAAAGGAACAAAACTTGAGGACAGATCTGATTACTCTCCATAAATACATCAACAGGATAAAACATCAAGGAAGGGGAGGGAGTTATTTAAGGGTCAATGTTGGTGCAAGTTCATATAGCTATAAACTGACAATCAAGTTTGGGTTTCAAATTAGACAAGTTTCTAACCATTGGAGGAAGCAAGACTGTTAAAGAACTTCAGAGAGGACTATTGAGTGCATAAAACCCAACTGTCCTTGATGAATTTATGGAGGGAATAGTATGATGAGGTTTCCTAAAAGGAATATGTCCCATATGCTATTAGCAGATATCTCCAGTAGTCAGAGGTAAGACACTAGATAGGTAGGACCAGTGTTCCCTCTAAGATTTTCCATCCGTGAGCGGGTTGAATTTTCTTTTGGGCAGATTGAAATATCTTATGTGCAACACCAATATTGAGGTAGTGTGTAGATGTGCACTCACTAGTAGGGATGTAAGCGAGTAATCAACTAACTGATAAGCCTAGACTTATCAGTTAATCTAATTGACTACTCACTTCCCTCCCGCCTTTCTGCCTCTGTATCTCCCTGCGGACAGCAGTTGCTGCAACCAAAACAGTCTCTGTCCCTGGTGGCCCAGGCTGGCCACGGACAGAGGTTACTCCAGCTGAGCAGGCAGCCTGGCTCAGTTCTGGATTGCACCAGGTCTAAGACTTACCCCTGCTGACGGTCTGCAGTTTAAATGTACTAAGAGCTGGCCGGGCCAGCAGCCCGGCTCTTACTACATTTAAAATGCAGTGCTGCAGCAGGGGTAGGTCCCGGACCCAGTGAGAGCCAGGCTGCCTTCCCTTATTGGCTAATCGAGTAGTCAATAGAATTTTTATTGACTACTTCATTAGCCAGTTGACTGCATCTTAACATCCCTACCCACCAATACAAACAAAAAAGTAGATATAAATATATATTTTAAATATTCCATAGGTATGGAAGAAAATATATTAAAAGTAAGTGATAATTAACAAGGAGCAATGCTTATGATTATTTAATATGAAATCAAATAAAAAGAAAATTAACACTACCGTTGGCTGAAGAAGTGGGTTTTGCCCACGAAAGCTCATGATACTATTCATATATTTTTGTTAGTCGAAGGTGCTACCAGGACCATTTTTTTTTTTTTTTTTTTAATTACGGGCTAACACGGCTATTCCTCTGAGACCTTGGATACATGTATCATCATCCTTTCTAACAGACAGATGCATGTTTCAAAGATCTTGCAAATAAGGTTTATTCTTACAAAATAGCTAGCATCACACCTAGTATTTGCTACCTCTGACTCATAAGAGCCAGAACTCTACCACATAGCAAAGATCTGGCCTTTATTCAGTACAATTTACCATATATTAATTAGTAACACAGGATTTTAAAAAAATCATGAAGATCAGATTTTTAGATATCTGCAACACAAAAAAATTATGTGAAAAAGATATTTTTCTTTCTTACCTTAAGCCATTAACATTTAACACTATGTAAACTTTGTTTGGAATGTAATCATGCGAATGTCCTCCTAGGCACACCCCGTCCTCCCCCATGCAGCCTGCTTCCCCTCAGGTCCTTTCCAAGTGAAATTTTCTGGTCCCCCCTTCCCCCCCCCCTTAACTGCCTAAGATAACATCTACAGAACAAATTTACCAGAGGCTCCAGCTTGCACTGTTCCCAAGGAAACACAGCTTCACAATCATCTTACTTCTTTATCCCAAGTCTTGCATTTCATCTCTCACAATGTCTCCTCACAACATGGGGTTCTTTCCGTTCCTGCCAAATTCTTACCAAATGTTTTGATTTCCCCCCCCCCTTAACTGCCTAAGATAACATCTACAGAACAAATTTACCAGAGGCTCCAGCTTGCACTGTTCCCAAGGAAACACAGCTTCACAATCATCTTACTTCTTTATCCCAAGTCTTGCATTTCATCTCTCACAATGTCTCCTCACAACATGGGGTTCTTTCCGTTCCTGCCAAATTCTTACCAAATGTTTTGATTCAACCAGAAAACTACCCTGGCACTACCCTGTCCCATTTGCGGCTTCTGCAGATGTAGACTGCAGGAAACAAGACAGCCACAGCCAGGGATGGAAGCTTTCCAAGCAAGGAACTCAGAGAGTTAAAATAGGGAAAGGGGAGAGCTAAAGTGATCAGAGAGATGTCTGAAACTGCAACTGTTTCAGTGATAGGGCAGGGAGAAGTTTGGTCTTGCTCTGACTGGAGGAAATACTGACCTGATTCTAGTGATGAAAGCATGGGGAAGGGAGAGAGATGCTGTCTTGTTACCACTGAGCAGGGGGAGGAGTACAAATTGACGAGAGCTGGAGGAAAATAGGAGACAGAAAAGTAAGTCAACTCTCGTTGAATGGGCAGCAGGGAAGTGGACATGGGGAAACGTGATCCCTGCCCAGCCAATTTCCCAGAGGAAGGCTAAGGGGGAAGAGGAGAGGCTGCTGCCCTATTGGTCACTCACAGGGCAGGGGGAGGATTTGGGAGTGAAGTAGAGAAGTTGACCCAATCTGGCAGTGCCTGTAATTTTCCCAGCGTTTCCCACTTGGCTCTTGGCAGGCAATGGAGCATCAATCCCCACTCCCCTTCAGCCAGCAACTTCACTACAATCTGGGTCACATGTTCCTCTAAGTACTTCCTGCCTCCCTAATTGGAGAACTCACCCCTCAGTGAGACCTGGAGCAGGGGGGCGAGGAGGGAGGACTGGAGTAGAGCCTAGAGCTGGTATAGCACAGGCAGCAGCTGCTGCTGCTGCTGCTGCTGCTCCACAGCCAGAGTGAGAGCCCTGCCCCCTTTCCTCAGGCAATCAGCTGAGCTCCCTGCCTGCTCTGAACTCCTGTGCAAGGCTCAGAAAAGGTCTGCATGCCCATGCAGGTGCACAGCTTACAGCAGTGGTCCCCAACGTGGTACCCATGGCGCCCAACAGGCCATTTATGTGCGCCTGCCGAACAATCTGGGCTGGCCCCACCCCCGGGCCCGTTGCCCATGCGCAGTGCTGGCCCCGGGCGCGAGACACATGGGCGGCCTCTGCCCCAGAGTTGCAGCACATGCCGGTGCCAGTCCGGGCGTGCGGTGCATGTTCTGGCCCCGCCCACGGTGTGTGGCACATGTGCTGGCCCCGCCCCCCCCAAGCACATGGTGCATGCACGGCCCTGCCCCTGGACATGCGGCCCGTGAGTGGCCCTGCCCCCAGGCGCCCAGCAGCCCCAAAAGGTTGGGGACCACTGGCTTACAGGAAACGTTGGGTAGGACCCACAGTTAATACTAGGGATTTATTCCAGTCAGCGTCTGGTGCATGTTGCTCACATGCTAAGGGTCTGATTGCAATATTTGGAGTCAGGGAGGAACTTTTCCCCAGGACAAATTGACAGCGACCCTGCATATTTTCTGCAGTGTGGAGCATAGGTCACTTGCTGATCTGAAAGAGTAAATGGTGGATTCTCTGTAACCTGAAAATCTTTAAATCATATTTTGAGGACTTCTTTAAAAATAGCCAATACCTATTATGTGAGTGGGCAGATGTGGCATTCCTACAGAGGGTGCCCCAATTTAGAAGTGTTCCTTGTTTTATGCTGGGGTGGGGAACCTTTTTTGGATTGGGGGCTACACACAAGTGAGAAAAAAAAAAAAAAAAAACACAACACACCAAACCCTCTCCGATGTAGCCCCTGACTGATTTTTCTGTGGCTTGGCTTGGCCCCTGACCCATATAAGGTTCTTCTTCGAGTGGTTGCTCATGTCCATTTGAATTAGGTATGTGCATCGCGTTCACCTCATCTTCCAGAGCGTTTTCCGTAGAGGTACCTGTAGCGCCAGCAAGGCACCCCCTGGAGTGGCGCCATCATGGCGGGGCATAAGTACCCCTGCTGGCACTCCCCCACCTCCGTTCCTTCTTACCGCCCGTGATGGTCGTTGGAGCGTGTCTCTCTGTTA